TGGTTTCCCCCCCCCCCCCCCCCCCCCCCTGATGACATGCCACCACCTGCTAGATGAAGGGTGCGGCGACAAAGACACCGCGAGTTTCTCAGGAGCTGGAGGACGTCATGCAAGCCATCCGAGAACTCAACATCGACAGAGGGTCCGACCTATGGGAAACATTCAGGCAAGGAATGTTTGCTACAGGCTCACCTCGCCACACCTCGCCACCCCTGCCGTTACATCTCTCTTGCTGTTGTTCCAGGAGGCTACCATCACTCCTACAGCGGCCGAAGAGGAAGTCATCTGCCTTCACCCGCAGCTGGCTGGGTAAGTTTGCTACTGTTCGAGTGGCCCTTGGAAACCTGTGGCTCCCCCTCCCGACTGAGACGCGCGTTCTTGCACCATGGCCAATATCTTGCCCTCTGCCCCACCCACCCAAAGCAGAACATCTCGTCTTCCCCGTGCTTGCTGATCTGACCTTGCCCCGTGGCATTCAATGTCGTTACACACGTTGTGTGAGGCCAACTTGCACTAGGACTTCCCCGAGGAGCATGTACACGAATTTCCCACCGTGGTACGTAATTTTCATCTTGCCTATCTTGTGGGGGTGTTGGGGGATATTTCCCCTACCTTGAACTGAAGTACGGCGTAAAGGGGGGCCACCATACGATATGCTTGAAAGGAAAGCCCTGATCCCATGTGCAATACTACCCTTGTAGGGGCCCACACACAAGCACTTCCCAACGTCCCCCTTGAGCCCAACGGCCCCCATGCGCTCTGCCGAGAATCTCATCTCAAGAAACGATCTTCGTGGGATTGTCTCTTCGGGCGTGTTGATGTTGTGCATCAATATTGCCTGGGGAATCGTGTTTCGATTTCCGCTTTGAGAGCAGCAGACCACGCATGGGTCGCCTTTGTGGGCTGGTCGAAGAACGAGTAGTCTTGTTGCGCCTGCCTTTCAGCTCCGCTTCTTTCCACCAAGACTGCTTCTGCCAAACATGTGGCGCTTCTATCAGAGACAAGGCACCTTATTCAGGATAGAGAGAGACGAGGGCGGCACTTGTGGCACGAACCTAAAGCCCAAGTTCAACTAGTGCGTGTGCCGCTGCCTCAGTTGTAGCATCTTAGAGATTATCGAGTCGCCAGACCACTCCCTTGCACTAACGCCTGGTGTGTGAGGGGACGTAGTAGTCATGTTTTGCACACCGTAGTGGTTAGACCATTGGCTGTAAGGGGGCGCGGTATATGGTTTGTAGAGTATCCCAACAACGAGTTGTCTGGCAAAGTGTCGGCCCGTCCGTGTAGCGACGGGTTTTAAG